ATATATATATATTTCATAATGAAATTATGAGAGTACACAAACATATAAAAATGTCATAAATTTACTTGTTATAAGCTGCTTATACTCACCCAACAAGAAGAGAAATGATTGCTGTAACCCAAAGCACAAGCTGATAAAGCTTGTATTTTGATGTGGATTGGCATTGAAGAAGACTGTGCCTCTCAATCCAACCAAATTGAGGCCTCATTAGAAGAACAAATCCCAGAAGAAAACCTGCTATAAATCCACCAATGTGCGCAAAATTGTTCACTAGTGGCAATATTCCAATCACCAGATTTATGATTATAATTAACAGTAGAGTTGATATAGCTGCAGCCTGTCATGCAGAAGAAATTATGAGAAGAACATAGCTGGAAACTTAAAAAATTAAATTATACTGAAACTTGAAACTTTGTTTTTATAACACTCTTGATGTCATAAACTTATGCATGAAAAGGTGTATTTCATTTTTGTTAGGTGATATTAAAGATTTGAGTGCCATAAATGCATATTAATAGGAAAGTTTAGGTATTAGATATGTAAATACATAAGAATTGTGTGGTGTGTATGTAAATGTTCAAGTTTAAAGAATTTACTCTGTTAGAATAGATGGTCCAATTTGTGATGAGTTCTGAAAACATTGCTCCAAGAAGTCCAAAAAGAGCACCAGAGGGTCCAACTGAGATGCCTTTTGTTATAAAAAGAGATGAAAGCACATTGCCATATACTCCTGAGATGAGATAAATTGTGCCAATCCTCACTGCAAATTCACAAGTAGAAAATATAGTTAGGGTGAAGAGATAAATATCAGATTTATAAGATGTAAGAGCAATTAATGCTTAGGTATTATAGAATTGGAAGATTTACATATATACCAGTAAATTCTTATGTATTGACATATCTAACACCTTATAATATTATGGGAAATGGGGTATGAATGCTTACATTACTTTATGAGCTAAAGCTAAGCGGTTAAATGGTGAAGTAAGCCAACAATGTTCTATGGAAATATCTTTGAATGATTATAATTAGATTATATGATTAGGAATTTATAGATATAATATAATTGAAAATAGGTTTAGTTGATTTAAGCATGTACAGTGGGAGGAAATATTATGTCCGGACACTGCATGTCCAAACAGCCAACCACCGGGCTGCACATCGCCCGGTGGTTGGCCGTCATTTCCAGACATGCAGACATTCAGACGGAATATTTTTCATACAATGAAGGACAAAATATGGTCATTCAGTTTAACTTTCAAACAAAATTAACCAAAACTAAGTAATTTCGTTGAACCAAGGCTTCATTTCTAAATGATTTCTAATAGAATCGAAACCGATTGGTTTAGCCAGTTTGACGGACCAAATCTATCAAATTTTCCGAAAATAAAAAATAAAAAAACCTAAGATTGAACTAAACCATGAGTTTTTTTATTACCAAAGCCAAAGTGTTGCTCGAGGCGAATGCCAATGAATATCAGACTTAATATGTCTACAAGCAAATGAATGAGGCCAGCATGCAACCACATGGAAACAAGCAGCCTCCACCATTGATGCTGATGCACTATTTTTTCCCATTGAAGAGCTCCAACTTTCTCCAATCTGAAAACAGATTCCCAAAATCATGTTTATATACTTCATCTTAACATCAAATTTGTAGATGTAGAGAGATTTCAGAGCTGTATAGCATATTAAAAAAGAAATTTGCAGTTCATGAGGCCAACCAAACAAATTTAAATATTTTTGCATAGATTATTATTATTATATTATTATTTTGAGTACTACCTGCATAATTTCAAGCTCAAACCTCCTTTGAAAGCAACCGGTCATATTTATTTAAATTTAAATTTTTTTTCTTTGTAATTATGCATCTTAATCAAAACAAAATCATCACCTGCATAGAAAAGAGGGAAAGAAATATACGTGAGTGATGAAGGTCCAAGCAGAGGATTTTCTCTAATAGGCTGGAAAGAAAACCGCCCTAGAAATCCAGCAACACAGCTTCTTCTTCCCCCACCATGAACAGGACACTCATTAACAAACATCTCCACCATCATCACCATCACATTGCAAAACACAATCAAAGGCACAAACCACGCCCTCCATTTTCTCTCCTCCATCTCCGGCACATTGTAGAAGTACGGCGGCAGCACCATCTCCTCCGCTCCCTTCTCCCTCCCAC